GGAGGGACTGGGACCTGGCGCTGCTCTCGCTGGGGCTCTACGTCTGCACCAAGATCTCGGTACTGGTTATACTGGTTTGGACTGGGAGGGGACTGAGAGGGGCTGGGAGGGGCTGGGAACAAACTGGGTTATACTGGTTTGGACTGGGAGGGGACTGGGAGGGGCTGGGAGGGGCTGGGACCAAACTGGGTTATACTGGTTTGGACTGGTTTGTACTGGGAGGGACTGGGACATGGCGCTGCTCTCGCTGGGGCTCTACGTCTGCACCAAGATCTCGGTACTGGTTATACTGGTTTGGACTGGGAGGGGACTGGGAGGGGCTGGTTTGTACTGGGAACAAACTGGGAGGGACTGGGAACAAACTGGATTATACTGGTTTGTACTGGTTTGTACTGGGAGGGACTGGGAGGGACTGGGAGGGACTGGGAACAAACTGGGTTATACTGGTTTGGACTGGGAGGGACTGGGAACAAACTGGGTTATACTGGTTTGGACTGGGAGGGACTGGGAGGGACTGGGAGGGTATAATCCAGTTTGCTTGCAGTTCCCTCCCAGTATAACCCAGTCCCTCCCAGTCCCTCCCAGTCCCTCCCAGTCCCTCCCAGTTAATCCCAGTTTCCTCCCAGTTTGTTCCCAGTCCCTCCCAGCCCCTCCCAGTATAAACCAGTATAACCCATTTTTTTCCCAGTCCCTCCAAGTCCTCCCCAGTCCCTCCCACTCCATTCCCAGTCCCTCCCAGTATAACCCAGTCCATTCCCAGTTCCCCCCAGTCCCTCCAAGTCCCTCCCAGTCTGTCCCAGCATATCCCAGTCCATTCCCAGCATATCCCAGTTCCCTCCCAGTTTATCCCAGTTCCCCCCCAGTTCCTCCCCAGTCCCTCCCAGTCCATCCCAGTCCCTCCCAGTCTCTCCCAGTCCATTCCCAGTTAATCCCAGTCCATCCCAGTCTCTCCCAGTTTATCCTAGCCCATTCCCAGTCCCTCCCAGTTCACTTCCAGTTTATCCCAGT